CACTGCAGGTGGGAGTGTAGACTGGTGCAACCACTGTGGAAATCAGTATGGGGACCTTTTCTTTTTAAATCTGTGTTTATGTGTGCTTTTTTTCTTTCTAACTTAATCTCTTTGTGTTTCATCTCAGCATGTGTTATCTGCTTTATTCTGTGATTATGAGAAGCTAGTTTTTATCTTCTGATTTTAAAGTTGATTAAGGGGAAATTTCATTGTGGATACTTGGATAAAAAAGCATGAAAAACTTTCTCTAAATAACTATTAAATGTTCCTTATCTTTGCCCCAAGGGCTGCTCATAGACATTTATTAACAATTTTATTTCTGTTATATTGTGGGATGCACTTTTATTTGCATTGCTTAGTTTCGTGTGTGTATATGTTTGTTTGTGTGTGTTTTCGACACTGGATTTGTTTTAAACATTCCTTCCCCTTTCATACTGTGAGATTTCTGAGGAAGGAAATCTCTATTTTTCAATTTCGTATACCCAGATCTCCTTGAAATTAGTCATTTGTTGAATGAACAATGAAAACTAGACATGTGCTTAACTTTCCATCTTATGATCACAAGAGGGAGAACACATTTGTAATAATCCAGATTAATCTGAGATCTGAGGCTTAGTTATGACTTAAGTCCTGTAATAAGATACATTGAGAAGTCTAGGATTAAGTCATAGGAACAAAGGAAGCAGCATTGATGGTAAAGGAGAAAGGAGGGTTATGAGATGAGAAGAGAAGAGAAGAAGAGGAGAGGAGAAGAGAAGAGGGCAGGACCTGACACATGGAAAGCAGAGCTACAGGAAGAATATTTCATATAAGATGGATTGAGATACATTACCCGGATGTGCCTAGAGGGATGTCACTTATAACTCTTAGGAGCAGTTTATTATAGTGAAAGCTTTATTTCAGAAACTTGAAGGAGGTGTGGTGGTAAGAAATAAGAATCAGTGAATGTGGATTGCTCTTCCAAAGACTGAAATAACACAGAAAGTAAGATAGATGTCAGTTCTAGAGAGACAGTGGAGTTCTGGGAGGGATAACTATTATTTCTGTTTTAATGTTGGAAGAAGTTTTCATTGTTGTTGTTATAAATGATACTTAATAAAGAAAGTTTAATGTTGAAGTGCTCTATGGAAGATTTCATGTTTTGCCAAGTTGATGTCTTTCTAAATTTGAGAGCCCTAATTGAAGTGGGTGGAGATCTATGGTCTAATATACTTTATAACATACATCTAACGCCAGGATGATTTTGGTTGGTTTTACTTTGCTATACACTACTAAAAGGGCGTGGAAAATCAATTCCAGTGCAAGGCAATTTAAGGTGTTACTGTTAGTGTGTGTATTACAAATCATTTGTTTGCACAGCAGTGTGTCTTATGCTTTTAAAAAATCTAGAACTTACTGCTTTAAATCAATAGGGAGCATTTCATCCCAGTAATTTGGAGCTTACAAATAAAATAAGAAATATCCATGTCTAGTATATAAAAAGAGAAAGGCCATTTCTATGAACTGGATAGACAATAACAAAAAGCTGATTTTTGTGATCACCGCCCCCCGCCCCAGATTAAGGCAAGCACACCGTAGAAGTAGAGGCTTTAAACATAGAAAAGCTACAACTTGCTAAAGAAGAGGGAATTTTTACTGAAAAGGATCAACAGAGAATGAAAAAAATGATGTGAAACAAGGGAAATTCAAATGTTTCAGTGTTATAAAAGGTAAACAAATTTTCAGGGAACAACTTAGTTCCAGCATTATTATATTAGTTGTTGTTCATTTGCCAGATTGAAAATAGCTTTTAAAAATCAGTTTTAAAAATTATTTATGTAACACACCTTTTATTAAACTGATATTAATGATAAAAGGAAATCCTGTCTTTTTCCTCAGCCTCTGACCTTTACTCAAGGCTAACTGCTGTTCTGTTAAAAATATTTCAATATATATGTATTTTTATAAAAAGGGCTCATTAATACTCTTGCCTTCTCCTTTTTTTACTTAATACATCTTAGAAGTCTTTCCACATTGTTACATTGATTTATCTTATTTTTCAAAATCTACAAAGTATTCAGCTTTATATGTTTCCTCATCTATATGAAAACCTTACAGATCTAGAATAACCCATTAACTTTTTAAAAAAGTGTGTAAGTTTTTATAATGATGCACAAGGTCTTCTACAGAATAATGTATGTGGATGTTTATTTTGTTTCTATTTAAATGCACATATTTCCATGTCCCTCATATGTAAAATGATAAGACCATTGGTTTGGAAAGGTCTTTTTAGGTTATCTCTGACATAATACTTTTAATGCTTTTGATAAAATATAGGCCACATGGAAGGCATAATCCTTATTGAACTGAGTACTTGATCACTATTACTAGAGGTAGCCTTATTAGTTATGATGCTTTCAGTTGTATGAAACAGTATGTCTGACTAGAAATGGCTTGAGCAGAAAGGGTATGCATGAAGTCCGTAGGAAGGTTGTCCTGGCCTTGGCTACTTTAGAAGCTCAGTTTCTGTAAGTTATTTAGCTTTCCCTGAGTTCCCAGACTGTTGTGGTGGCCTGAAAATCATGACTTCACACAGCTGTGTTCAAAGGCAGACAGAATAGTAGTTCTTCTTGCATATCAGGGAGGAGGTATTGTCCCAGAAATCCCTCAGTGGACCCTCCCTTACCTGGCATTGGTCAGAATTGGGTCAAGTGCCCAAGCTTTCACTTCATGGAAGTGTGGGAAAACATATGTCTGGAATACTCAGACTGTACTGATAGGTGTTCAGCAAGGAAAGTTGAAAGGAGTTTGGAGAGATGTTCAACAGATATTCCACAAAATTAGTAGGATTAGCCAATTTTATTTTGGGAGAGTCAAAATCTGTCTCCCTTTAAGACCGTTTTTGATCATAGAAGATGTATAAGCCATCCTTGTGGAACAAGACTTTTAATGAAGGAAATAGACACACCACACGATGGCATTTTGGCCAGTGATGCACCATATACACAATAGTGATACCTTAAGATTCTATTGCCTAGTAACATCATAGCCATTTTAGTTAACGTAAATGTACTCTGTGATATTTTTGCAACAAAGAAATCACCTAACAAGTACATTTCAGAATGCATCCCTGTAAATAAGTGCCACATGGCTATGCATAAAACTGTAACGTCTTTCCTTTTTCCCTTCTACACTCCTTTGCATGGCCCTTTATGTTACTGTTATAAGGTAAATACAGAAGATCACTGTTTGTGTGGCTCAGAGTCCTCCCTTGAGCTAGCATTGGCTTGTGCACCACAGCTGCACTCCAACTAATGTCCCTTCTGTATAGCTATTCATCAGTTTCTATAGTTGCTTCTTTATTTGTTTCTATTTCCAATGTACCACTCCAGATATCTTAAATAATAAGCTGAGAGAAACAAGTCAGACCTTCAACTAAGTAATTTTAACTGATCACAGTTACGAGGACAAGTTTTGTCCTTCTGTCTGTTTAAGGTGATCACTGGGCATGCTATCAATTTTCACAATAATATCTGTCTTAACTTTCCTTTCTCTTTTTCATCAAACTTTTAAAAGATCTCTGACTTAGAATATGTGGTAAGTAGATATTTGATGTTGGGATTCTTAGCAGTTACTACCAGCTTTTATTTCTTTGGGCTTAGAATTTATGAAGCAGTTATAACAATTTGGAAGAAAATAATAAATGATATAGAAATAAAAGGCCAAGAAAATGGGTCTTATATGGGTCACTGTCCCATTAACTTTTCAAACTTCTAAAGATCTTAGAGGGTCCATCTCTCTTGAGGTCTGAGGACCTGTGAATCGTAGGATAACTCTTGATTGTAATCATGTCAAGGGCCACCATTCTCTAACCCTATTCCCCAGAATTATTAGATAAGATGATATATTTAAGGATGCTATTTTAGATGAAAAGTTGTGATATGGATAGACCTATTGATTTCTCTGTCTAGGTAAGACATCAGTGGAGATAGTGTTTATTTGTGCATTTCATCTTTTTCCTCCCTGACATTGAATGTATAAAATAATGAACTTTAAAACTGAATTCATACTTACCACCTTATTTTTTGGTGTGATTCATTGGATTTATTTGACTCTTATGAATAAATTTGTAGAAATCATAAGCCCTAGGAAGTTTAAAACTAGAATCTCATGAGTTTGAAATTTGCAAAATACTTTGGTTCAGAGAAAAGAAGACTGTGACAATTTCTTAGATAACTTCATTTTTTTATATAGTATGTTTCCTGAAAGGTCATAGCATACAAAGAGAACATGAGATCAATAATTGAACAGGAAAGGGAAAACTAAGCAAGATTTGTAGACACAAGTATATGGTTGTCCACCCTCCAATCCTGTCTTCTTCCTTGTCTGCCGTATGGATCTGGCCAATTTTACATGAGTGGCTATTATTATACGATGTTTGAAAGTCTGTACCTCTTGTTTTAGAGCATATGAGTTCTTTACAAATTGTTCCTAATTAGCACATTGGTAGGACAACAGAATACCCACATTGACAAGTAATCTGATTTTTGGCTAAGTCATACCAGATGATCTTTGGTCTTTAAATTTTGATCCTTCCTTGTTCTTTAGTTTCCTGCAACAGAAGAAACCTATCTCACTTCCTATTTCTTCATGTCCATTTTTCTTCCAAGATTGTACCTGAAAAATTGTATAAGGCTCTTAAGATTTCTGCCTATTTTGAGTGCTCAAAGGCAAGAAATACCCTACCTAGTCTTGCAGTTTTTGTTTGGAGAGCTCTTCCTTATCTGCTCATAGACAATGACAACCTACTCCATTAGTACTTTGAGAAATGTAGTAGGGCTGAGTAACCTTGTGGATGGTAGGTTTGAATCCATTATGAAGACTAATTGTAGCAATTGTCACCTCTGTTGTATTATACTTCCATAAATAATAGTCCATAAAAAAGGTAAGCCAAGGGGAGAAAACTTCAAGCTTAAATTTGAGGCAGATAGATCATCATATTTTCTCTCTTTATGTTTTAGAAGTTCACCTGGACCCCCACCGAACATGGTGTCCTGTTGCAGACTGTCAGACAGTGTGTCCTGTTGCCTCGAGTGACCCAGGCCAGCCTGTGTTGGTGGAGTGCCCTTCTTGCCACCTGAAATTCTGCTCATGTTGCAAAGACGCTTGGCATGCAGAGGTCTCCTGTAGAGACAGTCAGCCTATTGTCCTGCCCACAGAACATGGGTAAGAAAGGAAAGTGTCTTTGAAAGTACTCAATAGTGTTCTTAGAAACTCAACATATGTTGCTTTGGAAGAGTTATCTCATGGTGATGTTTAGACATTATTTTCCTGCAGAACTTTCCAGAGAAGTATCCCAGAATTGATAAGGTGAAAAAGGAATTCTAAAAGGGAATTTATTTATTTGTCTCAGCAGAATCTTTCAGGTATTGCTGAAATTAGGGTTTGTATGAGTTTTGCTTTGTCTTTAGGTAGAGACATCCCGTGTTCTCAGTAGGAAGTCTTGGCTTTGTCAACAGCTATTTGCTTAGCTACCAAGTCTGCCTTTTATTGATATATCTCATTCTTCCTGCTTGCAAAATGAAACAAACAAAATGATGTTTTTTTACTTAATTAAGTTACCACCGGATGGGGTATGCCAATCATAGGAGAGAGAACACAGCAATACAAAAAAGGTCCCACATCCTTAGGAAATGTAGGAAGAGAGATTCTTTAATACCTTACGTTCTGAAAAGATGATGCCAATGTTGAGATTTTGCTATGATGAGAAGCAATTCAATCTCTCCCTTTTTGTACTGAGGGTTTTTATGGTGGCAGCAGGGCTAGAGTAAGGGACCTTTGTGTTTGATCCCTTGTCTTGCCTGGGGCTATGGCTGTTCTGCATCTCAAGAACAAAATACCAGTGTTATAGTCTAGTTGGCTTAATCATCCAGTGCCCTGGGAGTGTGTAAAGCCAGTCTTCAGGAATAGAGGTGCAGACCTGGCTGTGTTGTGCTTAAGTCTCAAACAAAACAAATAGGCAAAAAAAGATTTAATACATGTGCCTTCAGAACCAGATGGCCAGATATAAACCAGTGCATTCCACATTCTAACTGCCGCAGCAGTAGGCACCCTAGGTATCACAGGGCAGTGTAAAGAACTCAAGAGAAGAGGAAGATTTGAGTTCTGACCTTGTCACTTGAAGTCTGCGTGTCCTCATACAAGACGCTTAGGCTCTGTGAGTGAGTCTGTTTCCTTATCAAAAGGGGGGATTAAAATAGAACCCATCCCCGCACTGTGTAACATCATCCCCGGTAGGAAATCTGGTCACATCTTTAGAAGCACTTGGAGAGTTAGATGTTACTGTGTGCCGGTGGTAGTTCTGATGCCCAATAACTGAAGTGTAGCCTAGAGCTGTGGCTCCTGCCCACCCCAGTTTGCACCACTCTTTATTTCTGTGTCCCTTTCGCTGTGCAGTTCTACTGGCCCATTCGTCTCTTAGGAGCAGGTCTTTTCAATAATGGCATTTATCTTAAAGTATTGATCATGGAGTCCCATTCTCCCAGTTATTTAATAGTGACATGATAGAGCATACCACGTTTGTATCCTGAACTAGTCTGCCTGCAGCATGACTGGCTCTTTGTATTTCTTATTCAGACAACATTTGCTCAGGGAGTGAAGTATTAATTTGGCAAAACAATGAGTTAAATCATCTGTGGAAAGTGTAATTATATAATACACTGAAAGCCAAAATAAATAGTTAAAGATTCTTTCTTGTTTTGAGTTTTCTGAACTACTAACAATCTGTGTCTCTACTGTTTTTACCTCCACCCTTTTCTTGGGGAAGTGAGTTAGGTACAGATTACAGCATTCATTACCAAACTTTCTAGAGCCCTGGGAATTCAGTTGATGACAGTGGGTTGAATACAGTGTCCCATTTGTTTTGTTTCTAGGGCCCTCTTTGGGACAGGTCCAGAAGCCCCCATTAAGCAATGCCCGGTTTGCCGGGTTTATATTGAACGCAACGAAGGCTGCGCCCAGATGATGTGCAAGAACTGCAAGCACACGTTTTGCTGGTACTGCCTCCAGAACCTGGATGTGAGTGCCCCTGGAAGAGGTGTATCATCATATGGCCTTTCCTGTACCTTGTCTGCACCAGAGCTAGAGTCTTACAGTTCCGCTTTTTCTAATACTGAGCCTATCTTTGTCTTGCAAAACTAATTTATTTTTCTTAATGAGACTTCCTGAGCCTGCTACTTCAGATAACTATAAATCCTCTTTTTGGTTGCTTTAGGCCTGTCACTTTAGTTTTAAATACAAGCTTCTGCTTTAGGGGCATTTCATGCTTTGAGGGCATTTTCTTGCTTTATTATGTAAAGACCTCTTATTATATTAGTTTTATATTGCTGCTGTAGCAAAGCATTGCAAACTTCATGGCTCAACACAAGTTTATTATCTTATATTTCTATACATTAGAAGTCTCTCATAGGTCTCGCTGGGTTAAAATCACAGTGTTGACAGGGCTGCTTTCCTTTCTGTAGACTCTAGAGGAGAATCCATTTCCTTGTTCTTCTCACTTCTAGATGCCACCTGTGTTGCTGGGTTGGTGGCCCCCTTTCTCCATCTGCAAAGTCAGCAGTATCACATCTCTCTAACCTTTCTTCCTTAGTTGCATTCCTTTAATCACAGCTCAGAAAAGTTCTCTGCCTTCAGACACATGTGATTAGATTGGGTCCATTTGGATAATATATAGAATAATCTCCCTTATTTCAAGGCCCTTAATTTAGTCACTCTTGCGAAGTCTCCTTTGCCATTTAAGGTACTGCATTCACAGGTTCTTAGGCCATGAATATCTTTGGGGGGCAAGTCATCCTGCTAACCACAGTTATGTTGTTTAGTTCTTTTTTAATTTAAAGAAAAAACTCAGTAGTGTCTCTTAACTGACTCATTGGCATGACAGCAGCATTGCTACTGAGTGTCTCTTTCCTAAATCAAAGAACTTGCCCAATTATTGCTTTTCCTTTCTATTCATGTAGCAAGTCTTCACAAATTCAGGTAGTTTCATCTAGCCCTATGCCAAGGCCAGGTGTTAACCTCAGAGTTAAAAGGTGGTGGTAAGGATTGAGGAGAAGCCTTATTTCAATTCTAGTTTTTCTGAGTTTAGGATAGTGCCCGTTGGTTATAGATATTCCCTGTCTTGGCAGTTTGGTCTTATGTGTCCACATCAGTGCCATCCCTAAATCATGGTTGGCTCTTTGTTTTTGTTGCTTGTTTTGCTTTAATTCAACAAGCAGTGTGTTTAGTGGTCTAGCATCTAACATACTCAGTGAGAAAGGGTTTGCTGACATGGGCTACTTGCTGGCCACTGCAGGCCTGGCATTATTAACGGAAAAATTAGATATGTTGTTTAGGAGGACATCTGTGAGTAAAATCTCAATCATCTTGGTCTCAATGTTTTAAGAAAGGCTATAAATCGAAGAGATAAAAATGGACATTTTAGATTCTAGAATCTCAAAAGTTCAGGTTGAAAGAAATGTTTTTTACTTTAATTTTTTTTCAATTTACCATAGCCTCTTAAATTATGTGTGATATTTAAGACCTATCATAATTTTAAATGAGTGATATTCTGGATGAGGATTCCATTGACTGTACATCCCAAGTGCTTTATGAATGAAAACTAAATCATTTTGTTTTCCTTCTGGTTTAGCCAGATTATTAACTGGGCTCGTATCCTCAAGGCAGCTGGGCCCATGAGGTTCTCTTTAGGAGGCAAGAGTGCAGAGAGCTAAATATGTGCAGCAGAGCTCCATCCTTTGGTGAAAGTATGTTTGGGGGATGGTGTCGCAGAGAACACTCTGTTCTGTCACTTGTCCCCTGCTGGTACTTGAGATGAAATGATACAATGTTAAATGGCTGAATATACAGATTTCAAATGTTGAAGCTTCTTTTTCTGGTTACTTGCTTTTTTGGGATTTCATTTTCACTGTTTTAGCCAAAAGCTTTGGCTTGTCAGTAATGATGCTTTTCTCCAGGCAAGTGTGGAGATGTCATGTGATGCTGCTGATTTCTGTTTGTGGTTAACTTGAAAGCATGGGGCCAGGATAGGGTGATTTTCTAAAACCCCGGTCTGAGACAGACACCAAACAGATTGTGAGTATTGCTGGGGGACTGAGTTTGTTGCTGCATTGGCCTTCAGCCTTACAGTTTCAGAGGCCAAGGTCATCTTAATAGTCTGCTTGGAAATATGATTCCTTAGAGTTTTGTCCCCCTCAGTTATCTCTAAAGTCCCATAACTTTAGCTTCCGTTCGCTATTCTTCATGATATCCATGCATTTTGTTGTTGGCCATTTAAATTAAGTGAGTCTTTTCTCATATCTTCCCCTACTTCTCTCTGTCCTTTAGCTTCACAAAAGCCTGAATACCTCTTCCTGGTGAACTCACTTACCCCTAGTCATCTCAGTGCATTCAGATTGCCAGGTACTCATACCCTGACTATATTCTTTCCAAAGTTTTGAGTGACTTCTTATTGATAAAATCCAATGGCGACTTCATTCCTTATTTGTCTCAGATTCTCCACTTTGTGTGACATCCTGGCTGCCTACTTTCCAGTTACCATCTCTGCTGGTTTTCCATCAACCTTTCTGGCCATGTTTCAGGTTCTTTCTTGACCCGTTCTTAAGTGTGTTCAGCAGCCTCTGGGATTCTCAGTCTACACCTCTTCCCAGATATTCATGCACTTGTATGATTTCTTCTGCACCATATACGCTGATCCCCAAACCTTTTTGTCAAACCCAGATCTATGTAATGAACTTCCTTGCGAATAGTACTTGCTTGAATGTCTCCACTGTTTGTGAAGTTTAACATGTCCAAGCCTTGATTACCAGCCCCCCCCATTCATCTCTATGTTGTCCTTCTCTTGACAGAGCTACTGCCTTCTTTCTACTCAGCAACTTTCCCTTTATGTCTGATTTTGCCTCCCTGTTCCTCCACCCACTACTATAGTTACTGTCTTAATATCTCAGGACCTCTCCATCCTGCCCTCGGTCCTTTCTCCGGCATTTCTCTCACCTAATTTGCAACAGCAGCCTTTTAGATCTCACTCAAGGTCATCTCATTCATCTTGTGCCTCTGCAAGAGCTTATAATCACCTTTCTAAGATAATTCATCAGGCATTATATTGTTTGTACAGTCAATCAAAAATCTCACTGAGTGTGATCTGTTTTCACTTGGTGATTCACAGAATTTCCAAAATATGCTAAAGATTGCTGGCTTGGAATCCCAGAGGAAATTATTAATATCACTAGGTGATTGATGTGATTTATATTCATCTTTCAATTTGAAGCTGCATGTTTACTGAGACCTCCCTTTGTTTTTCAGAATGACATTTTCCTCAGACATTATGACAAAGGACCATGCAGGAATAAACTTGGCCATTCGAGAGCATCGGTGATGTGGAACCGAACACAGGTGACCTTAAAGGGGACATGAGATAAACCAGACTTGTGATGAGATGCTTAAAGGGCCAACCTCTTCATTTTCCCCACTTTATTCCCTATCTACCTATGCCAGCCTGGAAGGCTCTAGGAGTTCTGGATTGGGACTAGGAGAAAGACAGTTCATGAGCACGGTCTCCTTGAGGACGAGTGGAAGGACAGGAGCACTGGAGAGCTGAGCAATTGACAGTGACCTGCAGAATGGATGCAGATGTTCTTTCCTCTTGAAGAATATGGAAGAACTTTTTTTTTTTTTTTTTTTTTGTGGTTCTGGGGATCAAACTCAGGACCTTGGGCTTGTGAGGCAGGCATCGTACCATTGAGCTAAATCCCTGGCCCTGGAAGAACTTTTTAAAACCTCTTTTAGGCATATTAGCTATCAAGGGCAGAGCTCTAAAATACTATGAGCCCATGCTGGGGCTTAGATCCTCTGTATATGTCATTGTGTTTTTATGTGATAGGTTCAGAGGGATTCATGGTTTATTTTTAATAGTGTTTCATAGCTATCAAAGACTATGTTCCTTTTGAGGAAATCAATGCTGATATCCTAGTATTCATTAATATCCCTATGAGACCGTTGGGGAAACTCAGGTAGAGAATGAGCCAACACCAATAGTACAGTTCTACTGAGGTGCTGCCAAGCTTGAATTAGCATTTGGTTTGTTCTCACTTTTGCTTTAGTCTTTTTTAACTTTTTTGTTTGTGTCCAGTTCACATCATGGCACAACACTGGCTAAAATACTCTGTAAAGGTAGCTGTCATATATGCCCAAGACCATGTCTTAGTCATTGGACTGCTATTACAGATGATCATAGACTGACTGGCTTCAACGATAAACACTTACTTCTCACAGTTCTGGAGCCTGAGAGTTCTGGTGGTAGCATGGTCAGGGTCTGATGAGGGCTCTCTTCTGGTTCACAGATGGCCATATCCTTGCTGTGTCCTAAAGAGAAGAAAGCCAAAGGAAGGGAAGGAAACTCTCTAATATCTCTTTTCTTAAGGGCACTAATTCTTTAAAATATTTTTAAAATTTTCTATTAGTACATATTTGCAGTCCAAAATGATTTACATTCACTGTGGGAACGGGCACATGTATTTCACACTTCTCAATTCTTTATTGTTCCCCTCCCCCCACCCTTTAAAACAATTTTTTTTTGCCAGCATCAGATTCATTTATTTATTTTATAACTTCTTATCAAGTTAATTATAAATATAGATTAATAACCCATCCAAAACATTAAAAACACATAAGATAATTATGCCAAATCAAGGTCTACTTTTAGATCCATTGCACGTTCTGGATTACACTAACACTTTTTTCCTATTGTCTGTCCTTTATTCAAGGGCACTAATCTTATCCTGAAGGTCCCATCTCCACGGCCTAGTTAACTCCCAAAGGCCCCATCACCTCTGTCCCTTTGGGGGTTAGGGTTCCCATGTAGGGTATACTGGAACAAGTATACCTGTAGGAAGGTATAACTGCTGCAGCATGTTTTTCTTTTCAATTCCAGGTGGTGGGGATCCTTGTGGGACTAGGTATCATTGCCTTGGTGACTTCGCCCTTGTTACTCCTGGCCTCCCCGTGTATCATCTGTTGTGTCTGCAAGTCCTGTCGGGGCAAGAAGAAGAAGCATGACCCATCCACAACATAAAGTACTCTGTTTGGATCCCCGTGCCACAGATGTCTGGATTCTGTGAGACAGCACATGACAAAGCCCCACTTAGTGACGCTGCCTCCTTTTCCTTGCCAAACTCGGGAAGTGCCTCTGTGTCCAGACCTTGGGGTTGCCTGCAAGCCTTTGTCCATGCTGGATTGGGAAAGGGCAAGTCCTGGGTGCAAGTGTTCCCATGTGACAAGAGCTGGGCTCTGGAGTCTAGACTGTGTCTATGGAGCATGTCGGGAGCTTTGCGGTTGCTTAGGAGGAATTAGTTCATCATCATTTTATCATTCAAAGGATCTCACTGGATTGTTAGTCTTCCAGCCAAATTCAAGGAGCCTAAGTGAACATTCAGTATAATAAATGTGCTTTTATGGTTGACAACATACACGCTGAGAAGAAGGCGTGTTCTGTGTTGATTTGCCACAGTGAGAAACATAGGGGAGGGGGGAGCCCACTGTGGGAGGGAAGGATAAGACTGCATAATGAGAAATTCTCCTAAGAGTTATACTCTAATGCAGGCCGCTTATCTGAGGAGTCGATGTGTTGGTTGTGGCTCTGCCAATTACTGGGCGTGCTGTTCCCAACTTTCCCACAGTGACTTGGCAGCAACACAATAGGTTTCTCCTTGTTGATCTCAGCTTCAAGCGGGAGAAACTGCTGTGCAGAGGGAGTTGTCCCTTCCCAGTGAAAGGGTTGCAGCGTGTAAATCAACATGGTCTAATTTAGTGTCTGTCCTTTGACAAATGCCATTTTTCTAAGGTGACCAGCTCTTCTCATACAACCAGTAGCTATGTGCTACAAAATTATTGTATGTGAAATAAGGTTAGAGTAGGAGATGTTCAAAACCTTCATCATAGATCACAGGGACCTTTCTCGGGCTCTGTGTTCATACAGCCAGCAGATCTGGAACTGGATCTAGAAGTATACATCAAGGGTAAACATTAAAGTCCATATGTACAACTAGAATCCATACGACTCGCAGCCTACCTAGAATTTCTACCCATTGGGCCTGCGTGGATACACCTAATAGTAGACACAAAATAAATTTTTACATAAAAGTCATTCTTTCTTTCAGTGACTAAAATGATTTATCATCAATCAACCTAAAAACTTTTGCATAGTATATATGTGACTTTTTGGTTTTGGTTGCAAGCTCATAACTTCCCCAAGGGCATAGACTCAGAAACAACTCATTTAAAATGATACTTTGTATGATATTACACTATCTCTGTAAAAACACTAATTAATAATCAAGATATTTGCATATTTCAAACAATTCAAAGTGGGTTTCTTAATAAAATTTAGCATCATTTTTTCTGCATCTAGTAGGACAGTCTGAATACTTTCTGTGTATACAAGGCACTGATAAGACAATAAAAAGATATATAACAAAAAATGGAAATATTTTATATATTTTCAAATAGTTTGGATTGTTATCAATCCTATGGTGACTTATGTTTCCCACTGTACTGTTAGTCAGATGCTTCTCCAATGACAGGATTATATAGTTGCCATTAGCATTGCAGCCTGGTGCTTCATGAGAACTACACAAATGTTAATGGAGACCTCTCCTGGAAGCCAGGGATACTATATCAGGAAATATTCAGGATTTAGCATACCTTCTGAGGTAACTGAGTAACTAGACTATTAAATTGCTGCTATCTGGACCTATTATTAAAGGGTGAAGATTTGCCTGTGTAATGGAATGTATCCTAAGTGGGGATGTATATATTTAAGGAATTTTAATTCACATGTATATATTGTTATCTGATACATGTATAGTGCATTTGTTGGTCATGTACTTTTTAATTTACCATTTGTATAGAACATAGATGAGAACTGTGGGAAAACTTTCCAATGGCGACCATCCAAAACCATTTTTTAATCATTTATTAGAAATTTCTCAACAATGACTTTGTTTTCCTTCAGCTCTCTAAACACTTCAGAAAAAATCCCCTCTCCCATCACTGTGTTTCATATTAGTATAAACGTAAATGTACATATATTTGAATAGTTAATTTGCTTTGTTTTACCCATAGCCTTCTCCTTCATCTTAAAGGGCATTCATCACTGCTCAGGGGGTCACAGAAACTCAGCTGACACTGAATTTTTGTACCAAGAATGTCAGAGATGGCAATGGACTCTTCCATTAGTAAACTCTGAACGTGGCTTCGCAAAGGCTCTTTAAACAGGGGCAGATTTCAGTAACTGAAATGCTCTGATCTGAGAGGAAGAGCTCATGAATTTGGAGTAAAAGTGTAGAAAAGTTCTATGCTATATCCGTGGCAAAACCAAAAGAAACTGTCTTCTCACAGAGAATTTGTAACAGGATTAGCTACCTTTGGAAGGGGGGACAGGGCTAGGGAGTAAGGAATGTTTGTCAAACAATTTAAAGTAACTGGACTTAATGATGTAAAGTGCCTGAAACATGGTGACTTCTACCTTAAATAATGAAATGTGCGTGAGTTGTCAGAACTAACAAGAACAGGTTGGTAGGCTGAATCCAGACATACCTCTGGTGCATCAAAGGAGATGATGCAAGCCACACTAGACTTCTCCACAAAGGAGAGAGCTGACAGCGTTAATGTTGGAGCCTGATATTTTCATCTTGGATAATTGGCCAGTGACAAGAGTTTAGCTTTGTTTCCTTCCCTTTAGGCTTTATCCTTTCCTAGAGATCCTCTTTCTGTCCCAGAACAAGCACAAGTCGACATAAGACTGGCTGTTATAACAAAATCTCCTTGTGTTTGGAGTAGCATAGTCTGTTTGAAATAGAATGTTTAAATTGGCTAAGCTGTGATCTGGTATAAAAACACAACATCCAGACGTGGTCAGATATAATGGTACAAATCTGGCCGTTGCCTTTTCTAGGGATTTTTCTCTTGCTATTAGACAGGGAAGTGAGGGGAAAGCCATATGGAAGCAGATGTTAGAATCTTAGGCATCTTATTTGTTCATGCCACGGGTATTTGCTTTGGACTTGAAATCTGTACTTTGAAAGTGGCCTTTGAAAAACAAATAATTCACAGCGTGAATTTTTCTTGTCATCTGCATCACAGAACTGTTATCTATTCAGGTTTGAAAAATCTACATGTTTATTTGAATGTAAATCACTGTTGCTTGGAACCTAAATTTTCTCTTAAAAGTATTCAGGATCTATGTATGTATTTCTTTAGCTTTTTGTACTCAGTGCTTCTAAAGGACTTTTCTTTCTGTTTATGAATAGCCGCCTTTATGTGTATAGAATTGTGTATATGTGTGCAGTTTTAAGGACTATTTCAGAAATGCCTTAGATGAGTGACATTTTATAAAGCTGTCAGAATTAATATCTCTAAGCTTTTACATCTTATGTTGACTCATGACCCAGGATGTTTTGTGATGTACTTCTGAAATTGCTGTTGTACTATATTTTTCCAGGTCTTTGGGAAGAAAATAACTGTTTTAGTTTCTCTGGCCCCAATAAATGTGAGCAGGAAATCAAGTGTGTTTACCTTTGTTGTGCCACACAATTAAAGACACATTCAGTCTTATCCTAATAAGAGCCACCCAAGTTACTGTTAAAAACTAGATGCAAAATTTACAAAAAGTACTAGAATTTACAAAAAATACCAGCATTTGCAGTATGGAAATAACTCTTGATATTTGTTTCTTAAAAGAAACAGGCAAGTATAATGGCTTTACTTGTTGAAGACATTCTTATTCTGTGTGTGGTATTCCTTCCTGCTAGTGCTCAAGACTTGATCATTGTCCAGAGAAATAGCCAATAATATAGGTCTTTCTTTCATCATTCTGATAAACAACATTGCTAGATGTCATTCATCCTCTAAAGTGAGGGCTGGGCTAAGTGCTCTTTAAGATCAGTTCTAACCTTCCAGAAGTTTGTTAGAAAAATGTGTTTCCTTGTTAGGTTTTTAAAGAAAGGATTTATGTTAGAGTGTTAACTTAAGGTTATTTCCATTTGATTAGTATTCAAGGCAGGACTTGCCTAAGTTGAGCGCCAGAAGTTGGCTAACAGCTAGCTAGAACTTGTGTTTCTCCAAAACTGAAAGCTCACTTTACTTGTGTTGTTGCCTTTTTATTGAATGTTACATTCCTTCTGACATGATTTCTGAATTCGAAAGTTTATAATTGACTTACAAATCAAATTTTATTTTCTAATCATTCACTTTTGGGGAAATCAATATGATCATGTCATAACATTTTTGAGTTGTGGTTTCTTAATTTTCTTAATCATTTCCTAGAATGTCAACATTATTTCATTTTCAAAGTGTGCTTACTGTTTGCTAAGCTTAATTTGCATTCCCAAAGAAATACTGAATGAACCATTTTTTGTAGCAGTGATTTTAATCAGTGCCCTACCCAGCACACTCATTGCAGTGTAAATTATAAATGTAGTGAATTTGGAAGAGAATTATAATTAAATTTTTCTGTAATTCAGTCATTTTCATTTGTTAGATAGCAAATCTAGTTTTTCTTTGTATCGTAAAGATCATGTCCAACTCTATATTTGAAAAATAAATGAATTTCTTCAAATACTTTAACAGCAATTATAGTATTTTTATTTGTGTATTTTTATATAGACTACTTAAAGAACTTTTGAGAATAATCCTGTGAGATAAATGGAGAAGATATCAGATCCATTTCTTAGTGAAAGCAATGGTTTAGTGTTCTGGTCTTGCCAGAGTCAGACAATTGATGAGTGGCAGCCAGAAAAAGAATGCAGGCCTCCTTGAAAGGACTTTACTGCCCTTTTATCCGTCGATAATTCCACACCTGTATTCACTCCCAAATCTGTGAATCCCAAGAGAACATAGTTCCCGCTCAATTATCTGCATCAGCCAAGGTATAGGCAAAAGAGTAATTTATATTTCAAATCATCATTTTGAGTCATGTTCTGGTGTGCCAGCATGCCCAGGGTAGATGAAGGATCCCTGAGATCAGCCACACCCATCCCTGGGGCTCAGCTACAGTAGGTCAGAAGGAGGAATGTAATTCATTAGAGAAATAACAAGGCTGCATGCATGCATCTGACTTGCTAATATCGGTTCCATGATGATGGCTGAGTCCACCTACTTCATAAGCCAAAGTGCTTTCTCTCCCCAGTGTAATGTGTTCCCACAGGTGCCTTTTGATGTTTACAATCCAGAGTCAAAGCCATTGTTAACCCAGATCCAGATCTTCTCCTATTCACATTACCAATTTATACTTGAATGCACATTTGTGGCCTGTCATTAAATGAACCGACTGGCAATTTCAAAAGATTGAAATGAGGCTTTAAATAATGAAATTTCCTGAATAAATCTCTGATGTGTACAAAAAGTTGTGCTTTGGATTTCATTTTCTGCCTTTATAACTCTCAATTTTATTAGTGATGTATTTGTTCATAGTTTTGCTTTTTTATACACTAAAGCCTGAATTCAAGCTTTTGATGAGAAGGAAATTAGGCCTAATGTAAGAAATTTTATCTTGTAGTTCCTTAACGACCTGACATGATTCCAGAGAGTATATTTTCTTCTGGAGGGAGCATGGGATGATAATGCTGTTGGACACATTCAAATAAAATGAACATGCAGGTTTTGTTGGGGGTAAGCTATGAGACTTCCTCTTCTTTTTTTTTTTTTTTGCAGTACTGGGGATCAAACTCAGGACCTTGCGCTTGCCAGGAAGGCATTGTGCCACTGAGCTACATCCCTGGCCCAAGACTTCTGACTACTGATTGGCCTAACTTTTGTTTTGAACCCAAGTCCATTTGTTTAACAAAAAGTAAACAAATCTAAAAATCCACACATACACTGCAGGGCATGTCCTGAATTCCAACCTGGATGGGACTTTGGCACCACCTGGGCACGTGAACATGTGTTTGGAGAGAGAATGGTAAATCTGATATCAGCCTGGGCACAGGAATGTGTGTGATATCTTATGTCCTTTCTATCCAGGTGGAATGGGATTGGGACAGACACCCAATTTGCAATAAGGTGGCTTCAGTTTCGCATCTGGCTCTGCTCTTGCCTGGTGGTGTGGTCCAGGCCAAACATGTATCATACAGTATCATTTCATTCCTACCTCAGGATGGGTGAGGCGGATTGGATGAAATCCCAAGTGTCAAAATGCTGCTAAACATGGTTAGCTAGGGAAGTGAGAGAGGAGACGGAGCCGCTGTGTTATTTGTTCTTGTGGCTGAGTGAGTAGTGAATGTTAGCCAGGCACTGTCCTGAGCTGAGCTGAGGGGGAAAAGTTGAGTATCAATATTGGAATATATTTCAAGCTTTTGAATGTTTCTTGAGGGAGATACTCCTTCAAGTAAATGTTTTATCTTGGTAGTTAAAAAATTCCTTCAAGCCACTTTTTCACAATGAGATATTTCACAAAATGAAGCTATTGAATTTTATGCTCAGTTAAAATGGGGGGCATGTGTGGAGGGAAGAATATGGAACTGATATCAACATGAGTTTTAGAGGGGAAGTTTATTGTAAAAACTTGCATTAACACAATGCCTTATGGTAGGCTAAGGACTTTGGGGCATATTTCCTTTGGCTCTTCATATTACCCTAGAAAGCAGATATTAATGTGCTAACTTTGTCCCTAAAATATAGACGGGAAATGAGACAAGTTCATATAAAAGGCTAGTAGCAAAGCTAGAATTTCATAATAAAATAACAATAGTTAATACACTGTGTATTGTTATCTTCAAAGTAGTTATTCAGAGTAGATGATATAAACCAAAAAGATTCTTACAAAAAAGAAACAAACAGATAACAGCACAAAACTTTCTTTTCAACCATCTAAAATAAACTAGTAGTATAAATGAAACAAAAGAGCATATATATTAAAATATTTTTGTGGTTTTTTTTTTTTTTTGGTATCGGGGATCGAACTCCAGTCCTTGCGCTTGCGCAGCAGGTGGTGAAACCACTGAGCTAAATCTCGGCCCTATATTAAAATATTTTTGAAACAACAGAATACTTAATTTGGGGTAGTATTTGAATTTCTCCCTAATTCCTATTTATCTCTCTTCTATTTTGCTCTTTATGTGTATGTTTATATATATTTTGTGTTTCTCATATAAGAAAAACCATGTGATATTTGAAGTTGTGTATCTGACTTATTTCACTTAATATTATGTTCTCAAATTGCATCCATTTACCTACAAATGCCTGTACGAATGCCATTGTGTATAAATACCACATTTTCCTTAGCCATTCATCTGTTGATGGAGATGTACTGTTTCCAAGATCTAGCTATTATAAATTGTGCTGCTATAAACATGGGTATGTGTGTATCCCTGTAATATGATTTTAACTCTTTTGGGAAGATACTTAGAAGAGGGGTAGCTGGATCAATGGAATTTTTAGTTTTAGTTTTTTGAGGAATCTCCATACTGGTTTCCATAGTGATTGCACTAGTTTACATTCCCACCAAAAATGTAGAAGGCTTCTTTTTTCCCCACATCCTTGCCAACATTTACTATTACTACATTTTGTTGAAGATAGCTATTGTTTCTGGGGTAAATAGTATCTCAGTGTAGTTTTTTTTTTTAGTTCTTTTATTGGTACATTTTAGGTATACAGTTCATTTACATTTATCATTGGGTGTTTGTACCTGTACATGATGTATCTTGGTTCTGATTTTTTTCCCCATTATCTGTGCACCCTTCATCCCCTCTATTTACATCTATCTATTTACATAGATTTCATTTCCATTTTTTTTCTTTTCTCATAGTTTTTCCTTTCCCTCTTTTCCTTTCCCCTTCCCCTCCTTTCACTCTTTCATCTTTGGACATTTTTTCCTATTTCAAATTATCAATTATTCATTTTAATCATTTTAGCCCTTGTTTACACTATCAGTTCTCACACTAGTGAAACTATTCAGTATTTACACGTGTGCCCTATTTATTTCACTTAAGAGTATGGCCTCGATATGCATCCATTTAGCTATAAATGACTCTACTTTTTTGTTCTTTATGGCTGAGTAGTACTCCATTTTATTAAAAAACCACATCTTCTTTGTCCAGTTTCCAGTCGATGGGCACTTGGGCTGCTTCCAAGCTTTAGCTATTATAAACTGTGCCACTATGAACATGAGTGCACATATATC